CAAAAAACCCTCTCAGGGACACCACATGCAGGGTTGAATCGAGTCCTCAGACATCCAACTAAGGGCCACTGGAAGAGAACTATCAAAGCCCAATCAGCCAGAGTTCATAGGTTACAGTCTTCCAAGGTTCTAACTTCTCTAGAAAGAAATCTTGACATAAAGCTAAAGATTTGTATAGAATACCAATTAAATTTAGCAACTTCATATTTTAGAACACTTCTATTAAATATATGTAATATTAGCTGTATTATCAGATATGGATGTTCTTCAAGTACAGTAAAATTTACCATTCAGCTAAATAAAAATAAAAAAAAATACCTATCTCATAGTTAGCTAAATGCAAACAGAGTCTACATCATACATGCCCTACCTACTGCAACCATCTCCTGCGAAACACAAAATAACCTGGGTTGAGATGGACCCTAGAGGTTATCTGATTCAATTCCCTGCTTAAAGAAGGATCATTTAAAATCATGGTTTGATCAGTACAGAATAAAGAGATCTTTTACACAAAAGAAAGGACCTCAGCATGGGGATTACCAACTTTGCTTAATGTATCTGAAGACGGTGACTTTTTTTCTTCTCCACAGGAAAGCGAATCACAAAAGTTTATATGAAAAGCAGAACCTCTTAGGGAAGAAGTGGTATTTGCACGAGATTAGGGAAAAATACACATTGAGGACACTGCAAGAACCAGGACTGCTAAAATGATGGCATGGTTTCTGTCAAAAAGCAGATAACTGTTTGACTTTGGAAAGGACACAGAATGTAAGTAGTAATCCTGATTAGTTTGCTAATATGGGCATGACAAAGATTACTTCATGGAACAATAACACATTACAGCTCCTCATGTGGAAGCATTTTTTAATTTAAAACTACTGACAAGGATAGCAGAAATGAAAAATATATGCTTGTATGCCTTGGGGACCTACCTGGGTCTAACATTCACAGACTGGAGATAAAAAAGTGTCTTTGCATAAGGACATATACGAAGCAGACCAAATAATTAAGAAATTCCCCATGAGAAAAGCTTATGTCATTATAGAATTTTCTGCGCCTTTTTTAAAGCATAAGGAGCATATAAGAAACAGGGTGTTGGGACTACACAGACTTTTAGACTGATGATGTGACCTCTTACATAGAAAAGATACTAGAAACTGGTGTGTGCAGGCACCAGTGTGGGTCTGTTTGCGTTGTTTCAACAAATCTGCTCATGTGACCCAAACAGGAAAACCAGTGTCTATTTGAAGATCCAGGAAACAAGTTAGTCAAGATAGCAGCTCTTAAATTAAAATTTAACCCTCTCTAAAGTCTTTTCAAGGTGAAACACAACTCACTAACTACACAACAAGAAGTGGCAGAAGGCACCGCTTTGTCTCCGTGTACAATATAAACTTTATCGTCACCTCCACATTTTCAACACCACTCTCCCCCCCTTATGATGGAAGGCTTTGAGCTAAGTATTACAAATACGGCTTGATAAATGTCACACTACTTGAACATGGAGGAGGTTTTCAGCCCTGATCACAACCAAAAATTATGGTCCCTTAATGAAACCGAAAAAAATTAATAGAAAATTAAACCACCTGATTTAGAACCTTACAAGGATCTACCTAAGAATAAACTGGCTTAATTATGCTATTTTCAATGACTCCTGTCTCCACTCTGGATTTTAAGTCAACACTGTCTTGGAGAAAGGCGAATTACTCCACTTTTCTGTTTTGCTGAAATCTTCATCATTACACTCAATGCCAGTCTTTTATCACTGATGAAAAGGCACTTATTAACATAAACAATACTAAAAATTAGAAATGAAAAAAAAATGCAGAACTAAAAGCAGCATAGAAGTTAGGTTAACACCCATTCACATTTCTCAGCTTGCATCAGGATTTTTTTCCTTCAAGATTATGAAGACACTTGCTGCATACACTCATGATTTCTATGGGGTTTTGTGTATTTTTCTATCAGGGATTTTTTTGCACTTTACTAATATTTTGTACTAAAAGGCAACAGCTGTGCAGGCATATTCTTCTTCTACTGGTCAGAAGATCAGTTATCAGTCATTTCAGGTTTATAGATACTGGTTTTAACAACTAGTAGTCATATACAGTGTTAAAACAGAAAATAAAAGCTTCCAATTTCCTGATGGAACTAACTGTAAACAAAGCAATTAACCTATTAAGAGATCAGCACTTTCCATTTCAACTCTAATTTGAGATTTGGGTCTCAGTATCTAGAACTTAGAATTTGAATAGCATCACACCGATGAGATAATTAAATGTTCATTGAAAAAATAAAAACCTGTATCAAATGTTTTAAGCAAAAACATCTGAATACATGACTGTCGAACAGACAACACTTCAGAATAAACATTTTTGGGCATCTCTGTTGATCTATCCCTGAATCAAAGTAACTCAAACAGCCTATTTCTTTGATGCAATATTTGCACTGCTGATCTTCAAATAAACTGTAATTTGGAAGTAGTGTTAATACAGCAAGGGGTTAAAGGACTGAGAATAAGACCTGGAAATAAACTCCTCTCTCTTTCATTCAAGCTCCTCATCCACTACAGAAATGCATCTAACAGATCATTACATCTGAGAGTCATCAGCACAAAGATGGGTAGCTTATCTTGCATCTGCAGGTCAGAGTACCCATGGATAAAGAGTAGAGGGCCATCCTGGACTAAGCCTGTGGAACTCCCACTAAATATTGTACATGTAAAAAGGCCAAAGTGTGTTCAAAAGAAGGGCTAAAAGGGAGAAGAGGAAAACCTGAACATGGCAGAGATGGCAGCCAAAGAGAGAACAAGACTTCAAAAAAAGTGACTTCTACTGAGTGCAGCAAATGAGGAAGAAGGATGGAGTACTCCACGACTAGGCTACAAATAATAGTTTTCATCACATTTGAGAGATTAAAGCAAAATTAGGAAATATTCTAGACTAATCCTAGACACTGACAGCAGACAACATATTTTGTTATCCCAAGGGTTGAAATTTGCATTGGAAGGATTAATAAACTGTTTGGAGATACTGATTTCAATACCACAGACACTGACTGCCTGATCCCTCCATCAACAGTCCTGTTATCAAGCCTTTTATATTACAGACCAAGTCTTGCTACAACTAAAATCTTCCTAGACATGTAATGTATGACACTACTCCAAGTCAATCAATAACTTCTTGTATTGACATGCACCTAATTTTAGAATTCCTTATGAGCTAGGATCAGTCGAGCACAAATCAAGCAGAAAAACTTACTTTCATGTTCCTCATGCACAACTATGTTCACGTGATCAACACATGACTGGATATCATTCCATGTGATAAACTGATTTCCTTCTGCACGTGTTTGAGCTTTCAGCTTCATCAAATCATCGATGTATCTGTCAAAGAACAAAAACCAAACCAACAAACATCACATTGCAACAAGCTGGCCAGGGAACACATAACATGGCACGAGAATTGTGCACAGAGTGGTAGAGGTAACACGAGGGTTGAAACTGGACCAAATATGGAAAGGGGGAAGAAGAGAAAGAAGAAAAGGCTGCATGCAGGATGGTCAGCCCAAATGTGAAATAATAGACAAGAGCAGTAAAACACTGAATGGGGGTCCAGGGCAAAGAACAGGGGGTGAGCTGGTGTAATATCAGTGACAACCTAGTTGTACCACAAAATGGCTTTAACGTGAACTTCATGAGAAAGTGTTGTAAGATGGCACAGAAATCAGACCAGTAAGAAACAGTAATCACAACAAGAAGATGCAAGAGCCAACAGAGATTAAATCAGTACTGTAATAAATAACATAGAAAGAACATTGTGTAAGAGGGGAAAAAAGCATTCAAAAAGCCACAGAATATAATCAGCATCAAGGACAGACATGATCCCTTGAAATATCCACCTCTGAGAGTTCTCATCCTCAATGTTTGTAAGCCCTGTGACAGGACTGCTCAGTTGTTTCCACACTGTATTCACATCCCCTGAATCCAAAGCCCTATTAATCAGGGCCACAGAAGACAGCATCTCTACAGCAACAGATAATTCTGCATGGGTGAGGTTACCCTGCATAGAAAGAGAACAAATTAATTCCACTTGCTCTTTACAAACTACTGCTGCACATGCAACACAGAATAGAGTAGTTGTCAGAGTAGTCACCTAACAAAGCGAAGGGACAACCTTTATGACATGAAAATAGAAAGATGAGTATCACAAAGAAAGCTAGAACACCAAGTAAGAGATTAAAGTAGAATCTTATAGGGCCAAACAGCTCAAGAGTTAGGAATTAAACTGCACATCAGAACAGACTGAACACCAGAACACTTCTATGAAGACTCAAGACAAGTTTGTTCCAGAGAACGCATTGAACAAAACAGAGAAGGTAGGGCCAGTGATCCATACCGACTTCCAGAAACAGGAGAGCAGGTGGTACTTACTTCAGGGCTCTGTTGCTGCAAGGTGGCTAGCTCCCTTTGATAAAGATCTGCAGCAAATGCATAAACCTCTGGTAATTGCGCCTCTGGATTCATCATTTCTGTCACAGTCTGCTCAGCATCACCCACTCGAATTGCAGAATTAATTTTGGCTACTGCTGCCAGCCCTAGAAGTTCAAGGAGGTAGCACAAAGAATGAGGAAGGCAGACAGTTGACTCCCCCAAAATAAGAGCACTTTTATTCTACTCAATAATCAGATACCTAACAAGAAAAAGAATAATTTCCATAGCTTCAGGAAGTTAGTAAAGCTTTCTGGTCCATACTTCCCCACTTAATCTTCCACTACTGTGGACAACTAAAATACACAATGCCTTCTTCATAATAAAGCTCACGTTTAAAACCAGTTTGCTTGGTTATCAATGGATTGTTTCTCTGTTTCAGTCATTTGATAGTAAGATGCTTCATGATTGCTAATTTTTGGATGGATGAGTAGTAACAACTTTTTCTTCCTGCCTATGTCTATTCTGCTCAACAGGCACTCTATAGTGGGTACACACTAGCTAACTTTAAAATATCACAAGTAGGTAAACAAATGCTGAGCTCCATGTTGAACAAGTAAGGTACTTTGTAGGCAGCCTCCTAGTTATTAGGCATTCACTATTTTCCTCTTGCATTCTAAACCCTCTTTCCCCAGATCTCTAGTAGTCTCCTTTCTATCTATTATAAATTGAACTCCTTCCTCTTGCACAACCAGAATTGAACAGTCTTCTCCAGAAAAGAGCTCTGCATGGTGTCAGAAGCATTAATCAAAAAACAATCAGTCATTGTGATCTGTATTTTATTTGCTACATGATATTTAGAAGCAGTTAAATGTTCTGTTACTCAAACCAAGTAAGATTTATGTCAATGGTCAGCAGGTAACCCAGCTTTCACACCTCATGGAGCAATCCAGATCTCCTTCACAGATCCACACCACAAAAACTCATCAAAGCATTCTAGAAAAAGAGGTAATTTAAAGTAGATGCAGAAGTTCCATGTTTCTTAATATGTCAAATTCTATGCTGTTATCTCAGCAGTACTGTAAGAGCTGGATAAAAGACACTAAATAATCAGGGCAAGTCTCTCTTTAGTGTTCTTAGCAGCCATGAAGTACTTAAAGAACATTCATAATGGTTTGAGAGAGACTTCATGTATCCCCACAAACTCAAATATTGTGTCATCCCATCCTTTTCATCACATCCATGGCCACTTCACTGCAATAATTTCTGCTGAACCTTACTTTGCTGATACTGTTGTGCTGCCCTGTTAGCAGCATCCACTCCAGACTGCAACTCTTCCTTCTGCAAAGGACCTGTAAGGCCAGCCTAAGAAAAAAAAAAAACACACAAACCAGGAAAGTGAAATGCTGTTAGCTTATTCACTTCAAATAGCTCAATAAAAACCCAAACCAACCAGCTTTTCCTTAAAACACTCTAATGCCACATAGCTTCTACAAACTAATAATGCCACATGTGAGGAAGATAGAAATTATTCACCAGATTCTCAGTTCATATGTTGAAAGGCTGTATGTGTCCAATGCAATCCCTTTTACACTATTAGAAGTGCAGTCTGATGAACACAGCAACTAAAGTCAAGACCCAGCTTCCAAAATTATAAAACACTTAAAGGGGACAATTCTGTAGGAAAAGACTCCTACTGTGTTCTGGAGTGAAATTAGTACCTGTACGGTTTGCCATGAAGTGGCACACTAATTAATTCATGTTCCATTTTACCTCTGAGCTACAAAAGAGGTAGCAGAATATCCAAAATTAACAACATGCAGTTTTGGCTCATACATACATGCTTCTTGGACTACACAGTACCACATGAATACAATCAGAAAAGGAGACTGAGTGACTGGGGAGCAGGAGGGCTTGAACAACTTGGGTAGTAGCCATACAGGTCACACCCCTTCATATAGTTCACATAGTAAAGATGGCAATTCTCCAAAATAGACCACATCTATGTAAAAAAAACCTTCAATTACATTCTGGAATAATGTGCAATCTGACTTGGCAGTTCAGAAAACAGCTGACCTTGGGGTTTGTGGCTGCTAAAAAACTTGGTAAAAATCTTAGTCCTGGTTCATCCCTAGAGACATCTTTGGACAACTACAGAGGGTTTCTGCCACACCAAAGCTTGGTAGGACTTTTTAAAAAGCCCCCACTTTTCCTGTTTTTTCTTAATTGTAGGTCCCAAGAAACACAGCTTGTGAAGATCATTCTTCAGAGTTAAGTGACAAATCTTCTGAACAGCAACCGCTGCGAGGCTGCGTGCTGTAGAATTCCTCATACCCCTACAGAAGGGTGTAACAGCAATACACAATCCTTCAGCTCCACCACTCACACAGAATCACAGCTAAGGAATACTCACAAAGTATAGCTATACACTGGCTGATGGAAAGAGTATCCCAAAACAGCATCCCAAAACAGCACATTTGCTGTAAGGAATTATTCTCTTAGGAACATTGTTTAGCTATTGACCAAACAAATCTTGCATCACACCAAAAAAAACACCCCAACAAATAAAAATAAATAAACAAATCAAGAGTGGCTCTGAATTACTGCTGTATGCCTTTCAGATGGAGGAATCCTCCTGAACACAAAAAAGCTGCAGTCCAGCAGAAAAAGCTGGTCTACAAAAAAAAGGTATTGTATACCTATATATATCAACTTATATTGATGCATGTAGATTTTGACAAGGTTCAGGGCAGAGGACGTTAAGTTAGTAGAAATGTAGGTCCTCATGAGTTTTATGGAGGGACTGTGCAAAGTGGGAGAAGTCACAAAGCTAACTTGGTCCTCCTCCTCTACTGAGGGGTAAATCTCTGCTGTTCTGCACTTTCTCACTGGTCTCAGAGGCCTAGGATTCGCAAGAAAAAAAATCATATCAGTAGAGGCAAGGGAAGTATTCAGTACCAAGCCTTTACGATCCCCATCATCTGCTCCCTTCCCCATGCAGCAGCAGTCCCAAGTATTTCTCTAGTCCTCCTTTTGCTGTCAATATATTCGTGTTGAAGGCATTCTCATTACCTTTCACGTTCCCTGCCAGATTCAGGTCCAGTTGGGCTTCGGCTTCCAGCTTTCTTAAACCCACCCCACACGCTCAGATGGCATCTCTGTAGTCCTCCTGAGACACCTGATACTGCTTCCTTTCTCTGTTTGAGCTTTGTAGGAAGTTCTCTGGTTCACCCACGAAGGCCTCCTGACACTTTTGCCTGGCTTTCTGCTCATGAGGACAGGCCATTCTCAAGCTTGGAGGAGGTGATCCTTGAAAAGTCAACGAGCTCTCCTGGACCTCTCTTCCAGGAGTACAGTCTGCAGGATTCTTCCAAACATATACCTGCACAGGTCTTCAGGCTCTACTGAAGGCCAGAGCTGTGATCCTGCTTTTTACCTAGTTCCCTCCTCTCAGGATCCTCAGCTCTGTCATCCCACTGCCTCAGTCACTGCACCCAAGGCTTCCCCTGACCTTCCCACCTCCAACAACTTCTTCCTTGTCTGTTTTAGGTACAACAAAGGACCCTATCTCATCAACTCCACTGTTAAGTATGCCAAGAAGTTATCACCAGTGCACTCCAGAAATGTCCTGGATTGCTGGTGCACTGTGTTGTCCTTACAGCAGATCAGCCAGTTCGAGTCCCCCCAGAGGGACCTCAAGGCCTGTGAACACAAGGCATCTTCCACTTGTCCAAAGGCGCCTCATCTACTTCTGCCTGATCAAGCAGTCTGCAGCAGATACCCACCACGATGTTGTACACAATGGTCTGTCTGCTAATCCTGACCCATAAGCTCTCAACTGGTTCATCATACATCTCAAGACAAAGCACCATGCAATCCAGCTGCTCTCTCACACAAAGGGCTACTTCCCTCATCGCCCCCCCATCCTGGTCTTCTCAACAGGCCTGTATCCAACTGATGGCAGCATCCAGTTCTGGTAGCTACCCCACCACATCTCTGATCCCACTGATAGCACAGCTGTGTCACTGCTGTGACCTCTAATGGCTCCTAATCATTCCCCACCCTACACGCAGTAACGTACAAGCACTTTGGAGAGCCACCTGGTCATGTTGACTTCCCAGGAACAGGGTAAGAGACTCCCTTGTAACACTGCTCTCATCGCTTCTGGACAGACGTTAGAGGTAGGTCCCCTTCAGCCCTGCCTTGCTGGTTCCAGGGTGTCTCATCCACACAGCCTACACAGTTTGCTTGCCAACCCAGATGACCACTTCCCCGCTTGGAGACACGATCACCTGATACCTCCAACAATTTGGGAATAAACATGGTATGGGCTTTGATCACCACCTTCAGTCTTACAGGTACTGCATAAGAAAGGTCAACCCAGAAGCGTGATGTTTGCTGACTTTGCAGAGAACTCAAAGGGCAGTCTTGTGAGCAATGCAGTGTGAACGGCATTCTGAGGCTCACATCAGGTTTGTCAGCACTGACAACACGCTCTCATTTGTTCTCATGCCTTTAACCACTGCCATTAAATATGCTGAAAGATGCACCACTCAGCTAAGCAGTGGCTTACAACAGTGAGTTACGTATGATCCTTGGTGCCTGACACTGAATGTTTGTTTCCCACCTGCCAGCTCTGGCAATTTAGGAGTCATACTATCAGTGAGGTCTGCTCCAGTACCTCATGATTTAACAGTGCTAAGATTTAAAAGCCTTATGATAATGCATAGCTACCCTCTCCAAAAATAAACAGTATTTCAAACTTTACATTTATTCAGGACCTCAACTTAAACTGTCAGGCCTTCCTACAGGTTCAGTGCTCTGATTGCTTGACATATACCACTTCTGCTCTAAACTGTGGTTCAAAGGCCTCAAGAACAAATATGCTGCTTCAGCCTCTAGTCTGAACTTTTCTAGGTCTTTCTATACTCCCTACAGTGCAAAAGCCATTTCATCTCCTCCTTCTCAACAGGTCTTCAAGCAGGCACTGTTGGCTCACATCACTGCCTTTTCTACTTACAACATACAAGCACATAAGCATCTACCACAGTTTCCAAGATCTAGTTTGTTTTAACATATAACTGACCTGTCTGCATTTTTCCTGAATCCAAACACATGCGCTATTTACTTGTTTACCTCGCTGCAGCTTTTCAAAATATTATTCATTAAAGAGATGCAACAGTAATAACCATGTTTGTATCAGCATATTTTCTCCTATTGACATACATGACATTGTGATAATTGAAACAATGCTGGGTTTAAAAGCTATGCTGTGTGTTTTATAAGCAGCATACATAAGCTGCCTGCACATAAAACCCACGCAAGAGTTGGCTTGAAATAAGAAACTAAAGTTAAATAGTTACAGAAACACAGAATCACTTAGGTTGGAAAAGACCTGTAAGATTGAGTCCAACGGCAAACCTAGCACTGCAAAGTCCACAGCTAAACCACATCCCAAAGCACCACGTCTACAAATGGTGTGTGGTGGGATTCTCCACAGTAAAAGAAGTTCATGATTATCTGATAGGTATTTATAAAACAAACATCCACATTATTTGGGCACTGACAATAGTAAAGTGAGAGGCAAGACACACCATCATATACGCACCAGTTAGTATTTTAAGGTTTAGTAAAAGTATTCTAATTATATATATAAGCATTATACTAGCCTTTTATATGCAGAGATGAAAATTAAAGGATAAATATGCTTACTGTGTGCTTCTGTGTCTCAGCGTTAACTTTTTCAAACCAACACTAAACTGTAATGCAGGTATATAGCAAGTGATTAGTGTACAGTGGTACGGTGAAAGGGGGTAGGGGGAACCTCATGAATCAGGGTAATCTGGACTTTTCCATACCTCCTGTTTCTGTTGTCTATCACTCAAAAACTGCTTGAAATACCAGTCGCAATTTTCTCGTAGCAATCCTCGGAGTCCCAGGGCTGGTGCTGCCAAAGCTTCATAGAGTGCTAATGCATCGCCTCGTTCCAAAGCTAGGTCAATCTTTGATAGGGCTGCATGTGCTGCAACGGTAAGAGTTTTGAGAAACATTAAATGAGCAACTCCCGTGGTTTATGTAGTCTGCTGCTCAGAAAGGAATACTCTTGGTAGATATCAAGTTACATATGTAATCTGAATGGAAGACTTCTCAAGTCAGTTGCAAAATAGCACTTGAAAAAGGGGCTGAAGGTTGGAAACAGCATGCACTACTGGAGAATTGAGGGGCCAGCAACATGGACAATCCATTTCCTAAAGAAAAGGCAACAGAAGTCAAAATGCATTCAGCTTACAACTACGTACCAGGTTAAAAAAAAAAAACAAAAACAAACCACCAAACCCCACCTCCAAATCCACAAAAGCAGGGGAGCTGCCTTCCCCTTTTGCTAGCCTTACAGAAAGTGAGGAGGAACACAAGTATCATTTCTAAGTACTCTTGTAACTAAGAGTATTACTTTGGCATGATACCTACTGTTCACTTTATTAATGTTTCCCTGAATCTCAGCTTGGGTCAGAAGTTCTTCATACACATCTCTCTCTCTCTCTGAATTTTCTGAGGCAATCTGGAGATGAAATAAAAACTAATCAGTGTTTCTAGTCTCCTTTGCCCCCATAGATCCTCTCATTGAAAACATCAGGAGGATAACTGTGTATCTATACAGAACTCTGATAGGTCACACAGGTTACCTCTACACATGCAAAATGAAATCCTCAAAGTAAATACATATAAAGTAAGTATACTCACACTCTGATACAGAGAGCCTAGAAACACCTTATTTCAATCTAATGGCTCTATATGAACACATAGTAGAGCAGAATGTAGCACACACAGAACACTCCAGTACACACAGCTAGGCTATGTGTTGGATATACAGTGTTCTAAAACAACACTGAGAGCATCAGTCAGTTTTGCTTATCATTTCAGTGGAAAACATATCCACATTGTATGAAAATAGAGGGACAGCATTCCCAACATATAAAGGCTGAATGAATTCTGTATCTATGCAGCCCGTTATTCAGACAACTGAACAGGGTAACACAGCTAACTGCTGCCTGTCCTCTGCAATAGGAAGACAGGTTACTGGGGAACATACTAGAATACCACCAGGAGTAAATCCACCTAACTCTATGCATACAGCACTGTAACACACATTCTGTGAATTTGTGAGTTTACACTGCAATACAGAATTGCAATGCATGCAAATAGATGGTTTGAAAGAAGAATTGACCTACTCTGTTTTTAGCATTCTCCATCTTGTCTTGCTTTGCTCTGTAGAGTGTGTCTTGGTAAATGGATTCCAGTTGATCATCAAGATTTATTAGCATGGCATTAGGGTTCTTCATTGCCATAAGAGTGTCAGCTGGAACCTGATGGTCAATTGCTTCATTAATGGCAATGACAGCAGCATGTACTGAAAAACAAGTCACAGTTTGCCAGTTAGCCCCAAACACAACAGCTCTGTTAAAAAGTGAGAACTTAACTGGAAAGAGCAGAATAATTATCTGCAAATTAACTGGAAAGCAGAACTATCAAAGTACCTCTCACTCCATCATGGCTTTGTGTTCTTGACAAAGAACAGCAGCCTACTTCCTAGTAGTGTACTCTAGCTAGTCAAATCATCATGTTCCAGAAAGAAAAGAAAAAATAAAAACACCTAAGGTAAGGAAGAAAACCCTCCTCCCAGTCTTCCAAAAGACCTGTACTGTCTTACAACAGGAGGCATTAAACCCAACACTTTAAAAAAAAATCATCTGCCGATTTGAATAATCACACAAAACAACACTCCCATTTTTTCCTTACATGCTGCTTCATCCACAGAAAGTTCATTCGCAAGAATTCCTCCAATCTTGCTGAAGGCAGGCATCTGAATACCATACTTCTCCAGTTCAAGCCTCATATTACTGATTTCCTCCTCTGAAACATACATAAAAAGTGTTATGCAGGCTTAAACACACGAGGAATCAGCACTGTTATACCAACTGCTCCTACAAAAAAATTAGGATAACTACAACAAATTACAATTACTGTTTAAATAATACTTTGAATATAACTCAGTAAGTGAAAGAAAACAAATGAAAACTGATAAGACATTTTGCATACTTTCTTAAAATCTGCATTTCTCCCAGAAATTCATATGGGAATATTCTGTAGTCTCTCTCACTAGAAAACAGTATGTGGCTTATGAGGAGCTGGAAACAGACTCCGTCATTCTGAGGTGCCTCAACTACAGCTGCCTACAGGTCAGGAAAACGCACAGGCAGTATTGTAGCATTCTTTTTTCCCCACACAGAGACTATGCTGAGAAAAGCGAATGGAGGTTATTGAGACACGCTGTTGCTAAATATCATACAACTCCAAAAAAAAGTTGATAGTTTAGCATTTTATAGGTACAGTCAACAACTGTTTTGCAGGAAAATGAAGTTTATACAACTTTTAAATCAGATGCATGCCCTCAGGCAGGAATCCCACTAATGCCAAACACAGAATTTGACACTTTTGCAAAAATCAAGGAACTGAAACCTTGGTAAAGTGTGTGGACATGAGACCTTGCACTGAATATCCTGTAGCAGATCAGCTGGCTAACTCTTCTTCAGCTGATGGCACCTCTACTTTAGACTGTCCAGGGAGGTCAGAACCATTTACTAAGTTCCAAACTGAAACCTTGCCCAAAGGGATGGAGGCAAGGGCAAAGTTTAAGCATCTTGCAACAGTGGAAAAAAAAAAGGTAAGGGGCTGTTATTTGAGAAAGGAATGATTACTGAACTGATGGCTACTTAACAGCCTGGCTCAGAAGCACCCAAATCAAACCTTTCTTAAAAATTACTACAACTCCTCACAGCCATTAATTTTTAATTTCATTTGCATTTAGGGTATCAACAGTAACAAACCTTTAATTGATCTCTACAATATGTAGTAGAGGATGAGAAAGGCAGCACAAAACCAGCACTTTCTGTTTGTTTGTTTTACCTGTGAAGTCCACCTTCCCATATAAATCCTGAATCTGGGGGGCAAGGCCCAGCTTGAACAGGTACAGGCTAGAAAAGAAAACAAATACTTAGAAATAGTAATTTTTCTTTGTATTTCTGACAATGACACAAATAATTTCAGGATACAGATATTCAAGGAGCCACTCAGATAAGCCATTGTAACAGCTCATCATCACCAAGAGGCTGAGCTAACTCCTCTCTTCCCTGCCTCAGCTGCACATAACTGGTCCACCACTGAAGCTTTCACAGAATTACAGAAAGGTTGAGGCTAGAAGGGTGCTCTCAAGTTTGTCTTGTTCAAGCTCCCTCCTCAAGATCACGTGGGACTAGGTTCTCAGGATCACGCCCACATGGCTTTTGAGTATCTCCAAGGCTGGAGACTCCACAACCTCTCTGGACAACTTGTGCCACTCCTTGGTCACCCCTACAGCAAATTGTTTCCAGATGTGCAGAGGGACCCTCTTGTGGTTCACTTTGTGCCAGCTGCCTCTTGTCCTGTCATGGAGCACCACTGAAAAAGCCCGGCTTCATCTTCTTCGCACCTCCCCTTCAGAGAGATGCACACATTGCTGAGACTTCCCTGGAGCCTTCTCTGCTCAGGGCTGAAGAGCCCCAGGTCTCTCAGCCTCTCCCCACAGGAGAGATGCTCTAGTCCATTAACCACCTTAGTGACCCTTCCTTCAACTCTCTCCAGTCCATGTCTCATGCTGAGGAGCCCAGAGCTGGATGCAGCACTGCAGGTGTGGCCTCACTGGTGCTAAGAGCAAAGTATTCACAAAACTGATTTGGCTTACTAGAACGGTGTTGAGGTATTCATTTGGAGCTTGACAAGGAATGGAACGGCTACAAAGGAAGGATGAATCTGTATAAGCTAAGGACAAACACAACTGGGGAAGGAGAAGCCAACCCCTCTCCTTTTTGCCTGTTGCACTGGCTCAGCACAGATTGTGGAAATGTACTTTCTACTGAGATATCTCATTATACAGGAACATTAAAAATAAACTATTAATAAAGTAAATGCCCATTCCTCCAGTAAACTCAGTTTTAACGTGACTGTAAAAGAGACACTAAGCAACCGCCTTTTCACATGACCTCAACATGTCAAATCTAAATCTCCCATCTTTATAAATTTAAGCAGATTGTTTTACAAAACAAAACACAAGCAGGAACACTTCTGATCTATGAACTGTCAACAAAACTGCATTCTAGTTCTTTATTTCTTCATTGGAATATACTTAGGCACTAAGCCTAAAAAAAGGTTTTATAAAAACATCTTTTCCATATTTATATTTACTTATCAGAATTACTCTTCTTCCCTTGATAAGTAAAATTATTGAAATTATATAATCTTGAGGAGGCTGCCTTTGCAGTGAAATTGGTTACGGAACATTTCAGCCAAAAAGTTTAACAATTGAAAAGAAATTAAGTGTACAGAAAAGGTATTATTATAACTTCTACAGCCTTAACTACTGTGACTGTTTGCATCTATTAATTTTGCTCCCTGAATTAATTTTCTTTTCCTAATATATGGTCTAGAAAGAGTACAGAAACAGCTAACTTAATTTTCTTGGGAAGCTTGGTAATTGTTCACAATTCAGACTACTGCGGGGCAGGGTGTGGGGTGGGAACAACCAAGACAGAACAGAACACGTAACAGGAATATATGCCAGCCAACTCCTGCAGAAAGCAGCTACAGTAGCTATCAAAAGCTGCCAGTGAGGGAGGAACTTTGCCACAGCCTAAACAAAAAGCAGCATTATTCTTGACAGTGGCAGCGTACCCTACCACAGGTCTATTCCTCACTGTTCTATAAACTCCAAATTACTACAGAGATAACTCATTTTAGATCTAAATCTGGGATGAAGCTCACTTCTACAAATAATAAATTTAATCTACAGTAATCTGAAATAACAGATAACATTCAGATAGACGCAATCCATCTCTATGTATTTCACACTGGCAACAGATAAGAACAAGCCATTCATGAGAACTGAAACTGAGTGAGCAATAGATGAAGACCCAAACGTATACAATCCAGCATTCAGTCACCTAGTAAATTCTACAAAAGTAATCCTTCTTAAATAAAAATCTCAACATGTTCCAAAAGCCAAACTTGCATTCAAACCAGCTAGCCCGGGGGGGGG